CATGTGGGTTAAGGTAGCCATTCCCTACCTGATGATGTGGTCTTCTCTTGACCTCACTGTAAATGGCTTGTACTGCCACCCTCCCCCACAGCTCACATCCATGTCCACTATAATTCTTTCACTAGGTCCCACATTCACTGTAACATGACCATAACAATATTTTCCAATCTTCCAATCCTTTTCCAGAAACTTCAGTTCTATGCTCAAGAAGTTGACCTGAATCCACCAGAATCCAACCATGTATAGTAAATGAATGACATGTTTTTATACCTGGACAAAAGTAACATTGGGCAGGCTGAATGGTCATAACCCTATCAAAACACTTGAAGCCTTGCTCCCTTAGTGTACTTCTGAGTCAGTCAACATGCCAATGATACCCTTCTACACAAAGGACTTTGAAGGATGCCATACTTTATTGGTATGGACTCAAAAAAGAGTGAACTGAAGGGTGCACTATTTGTAGATCAAAGAATTAACTTGGCACTGCTTGGGGTGTGTCCCTGACCTCCACTGTAGCAGTGTTTCTAGAGCAAAGCATGGGGTGGGGCAGTCATAGCCAGTGAATATTGATGTGATTTGCAGGTAAGGATTTTGATGGATTTGGGAATAGCCACAGTTAAGTAAAAAAAATGATGATTATTAATTGTCACCTATTCTCGGTCTCAAGTCGGCTCTTGTCCCTCGTCAATCCATCCTTCTCTCTCTCCAGTCTCTGCAACAATCTCTGCAACTCGTTGACCTTGTCTCTGAGCTCCAAGGCCTGGTCTCGCTCTGTCTTCTCACGTCTGTTTGCCTCTTGCAGCTGGCTTAACTGCCCCTCCAACTCTGAACAAAGAATCCATTTCAGCTTGTTGAAAAGAGGCGACCATTTCGAAATGATACTGATCAAAAATGTCAAACTTTGATAAGGTTCAAGCACCAGAAAAGGAAAGGGACTTCCCATGTTTGGATGATACAACAGACTGAACTGGCCTTGGGTGAGATGGAATGCAGATGGATGGGTGGCTTGGGTGGGGCAGGGGTTTTGTGGTTAGAGTGGGTTCAACTGCTATACAGGCTCCTTCTTGGCTTAAGATGACACCAGCCTGACCGAGACTCTCCTTCCAGAACATCAACATTCAAGCTTCAATGTTTTTTAACTGTACAGTGCTAGTTCATATGATATTTACAGCTCTGAGAAGGGTTTAACAAAGACCTGACCTTGTCGTTCTTTCTCTAGACATGCTGTCAATTCCTTGATGGTGGTGGCATCAGATGCTGTTTGGACTCGCAAGCAATCCAGCTCCTCGTGGAGGTTCATTCTACAAGAGGAAGAGCAAAACAGTGTCAGGCTATCTGACCAGGAAATCCAGGGCACTGTGTAGCACACTGACAAGACCAAACATTATTACCACGGTGTGCACTCTGCATTACAAGCGCAAACTGCACTGAGTGCAGTAGCCAATTTTCGACAGAATGAGCACAAACCTGACACATCTTTGATCAAGAAGAATACCCGAGTGTAAGTACACCAGGCAAAATGATGCAACTGGCATGGGTGAGGTATAAGGGAAAGGATGAGAAAGCCACAAAACATCCAGGGACAGGTTACAAGAGTGGATAAGTTCTGCGACTGTTTAAGGCTTTCAACGACTCACAAGACTTACATTATCTCATTAACGGCTCTGGTTATTGATTAATTGGTTGGTTTATGGCTTTAAAGAAAGTATTAAACTATACCAGGCAGCAGAGCTCGTCTTGTGAGTATGCTACTTGGATATATTTGTTTAACCACTTCCTGCCAGGTGGAATTCGCATATGCAGGACGAGTTTCCGGGCGCTTTTCAAGATTTTCCGTTTTCAAAATTCTTAAAATATTAAAAACTTCATTTATTGGAGGCTTACACTCACACATATGACTGTCTGGTGGCTACTTTAATCCGACAGGCAACCTACATTGACGCCCAGGAGTTGCAGCCAGGCCTGCCGCAAAGTAAAGAGATCCCACAATTATGCGGTGTTGCATAATTGCCTTTGTTCCGACACTGGCCTAGTGCGTTGCTGAATGGCACTGGTGTCTTTTCAAATGCGGCTAGATTAGCCTGCAGCGGTACTGTATCGCTCATCACTGGAATGCTGGAGACTTTTGTCCCCGCTGATAATCCGCAGGCGCTGAATGCTGCAAGCAGTGGTACGCTGTTTCGAAACAATGACCAATTACCTCCACTAATGCCAGCACTCTGTGCTGAAAAATGTTGGCAATTCTTAGTAGCTCGGTCTTTTGTTCTGAGTACGGTCTTTTGTTACCAGGCCCAGTTCCTTTGTCCGATTTCGGGCACCCCGGCTATGCATACAAACCCAAGGTCTCCGGTACCAGGAATCCCGGCACCGAGTGGTTAAAGCGAAAAAAGGAAAACCTGAAGATTAAATCTTCACATAACCAGAATCTGATATCAACAATTGTAAAATCCACAATAATCCCAACAAACACATCAGTATCTGGGGTCCACAACGGTTCTGCACTGAGGTGAAAAGTTTATACATGGATTCCATACAACAGCCAATCGGGCAATCAAGATCAACCACTACTGAGCCGACAGCATTGCCAAACCGGGAAACCTCCTTGTTGCTTACCGGGCAATCAAGATCAACCACTACTGAGCTGACAGCATTGCCAAACCGGGAAACCTCCTTGTTGCTTACCGTTCTTGCAAGACGTTGACTGTCTGCTGTTTGAAGTAAGCTAGTTCATTCCACACAGCATCTGAATCTTCCTTCTGAAGCTTGCGTTGCTCTGAACGACGCCCTTTCTTCTTCTTGGGAGGATCCCTTCAGAAAAGTAAACAATTCCTGCCAAACTTACAAGCCAGATCTTACAACGTGAGAAGTAAAGCAATCAAAAAAGGAGAGAGATCCGAAACTCTACGTATTCCAGAAAGAACAGATGGCTTTGCTGATCATACATTACAAATGTTGCAGTTTTGCCAAATAAATGACCAGTGTACCAATTTCTCTAGCAAATGTATGAGGCCAACTTCTTCATACCTTTCTTCAGCATCATATGTCTTGATCTGTTCCTTCAGGACATTGTAGCTGGCTTGAAGAGCTTTCAGTCTCTCTAATCGTCTTGTGTGGGCACTCCGCATCTCATCCAACTCACTATTCTGAACGAAAATAATGGGAGAACACATTGCAACAGAGAAGTACCTCGATAGTAAATCTCTGGTAGCATTTGCTAGAAAGCTGGAAAACACAAGTCCTACGACTGAATGGTAAAATATGGGTTCACGACCAAATTGTGAGAATTGAGCAGCTCAGTGATGAGAAATTGCTCATAGGCTCCTTTGTCATCACAATCCTGTAGGACGAGGTAGTGGATTGCTGCAGATTTAGGAGGGATGTGTACACTGTCATCCAGAGATGCTCTGGGTAGTGCAACAAGAGAGGTAATATTGCCTCCCTACATAGCAACAAGGACTTCAATCTATCATTCCAAGCTGATGGAATGACAACGATATAGGTGTAAAGTAATCCATGTGGAAGTGAGGATGTTGCGACCTTGGACTCTCTGAGGAAGTGTAAACTGTAGTTCTCAAGCTAAAGACACAAGGACACTCTAGTGAACGGTAATTACAATATCAAAAAAATGAATTTCTATTAGACAGATGTCGTTCTAGTACCAACTGATCTCTACTTGGATAATTGTTAATTTTGCTTAACGTGAAGTTAGGGTCCGTCAAATTGATCGTGTACCTTCAATTTTAGCAGTTTCCTGAGATCGGCAATTCTCCTGTCTGCGATGTGTTCTTCTCCAGGTTTGAAGTCTCTGAATGCAATCTCCTCAGCCTCATCTCTCATGGTAGGGTCTGGCTGGTAGCTGTAAGGTCTACGAGGGGAGAGAGACCGAGATCGTCTCAATGAACCCTTGATGGGTGTTGACGACACCTGCAATATTAGAATCAATAATCTTCAGATAATTCTTGGAAGAGGCCTTTTATATGACCTCAGTCGTCATGTCAATAAAGCACTGAAGAAACCATCTCAACTCGCTGAGCAGTATCAACATCAAGCAGAAACTGCACATGGAATTACACGTCAGATATACAACAGAATATCACACCAATCTGGCACAAAAACTGACATCCATTTTGATGAATTTTTGCAACAATTTGTTCAAAATATTAGATGACTTTGGCACTTACAGCTCTATATCTGTCATCAAGATCATCCCTTTCCCACTGATGTCTCTGAAAGCTACGATAAAGGAAAATCACTTTTAAATCTCATTTCAAGAAACGATTACAAATGAGCTTGCCAAAATCATTTTGTACATACACCATTGAAGTGCAAAATTGGCTCACAGTAGGCTCAGTTAATTCATTCTTTATAAGTACTGAAATTCAGTTCAAGCATCCACAGAAAAGACATCTGTGAGTCGATCATTTTTTCAACTCAGCCAAGACAAAACCTTCCTAGATGTCCTGGCTGGGCAGATATATGAAGTCATCACATCCTAGCACTGCACACTCCTGCACAAACCACACAGTGATGCCTGTACAGCGCCCTCATCCAAACCCAAATACCTCCTTCTCTGCATCTGTGCTTCCCTCTCTTCATCACTTCTTTCCCACACCCTTCCATCAACCACCAGATTGACCTGGATCCCAATGTCCTTTGTTGCCTTCCGCTGTGACAACTGTCTTTCTGCCTCCGACAGTCGCTGTCTCAGCTGTTGCTCTGATGTTCTGGATGCTTTGTAGCGAGACTGTAGCTCTTGGTACGTCTACAAAACAGAGGAAAACTCTGTCAGATACATGTACACCTGTGAGTAGTTTCATTGGTCATAATGAACTCACATCTATGACAATTTAATCCACTCTAACCCTCTGAGGTGGGTGAAACATCATATTGAAATATGAGGAATGAGTAACAGTAGGAAGTATACATGTTGGTGATTTACATGTTCACGTAAGCACGACAAGGCCAAATAAAACTGCACAGTGGTCCATGCACGTGTGTACCACTCACAGTTCACATGACAGATTTTCAGTTGAATAAACACAAAATGTGCAGCATGAAAGTAAACATCTTGTGTATGGGTGCACTACAGCTGGTGCTAGTCAGAGCAGTAATGTACTCTCAGCACTGAGGACTTCTGCATAATATACATGCAGAGTCTCCAATAGATGAAAATAAATTAGAACTGATATTAGGCTATGTAACTTAAAGCCTTACAATGAATGCCTTTTAATGCATTGATAAACTTGCCATTTGAAAAGAAGAAACTTCGATCTTGTGTGCATCTTCTTGGTTCTTTAAAACTGAAGACAAAGAAAAAAGATCTTAAGCAGTCAATCTGTGTAGGAACTGCAACCCACATTTAACAAAATGGAATAATCCAGATAATTTCAAATTCTCACCACAGATAGCTAAAATGACCTCTAATGTTAACCACATGCTGCCGGGCACCTGGTTTCGGGTACCCTGGGTTTATACGCAAAGCCGGGCTGCCGAAATTGGACAAAAGAGCTGGGCCTTGTAACAAAAGACCGTACTCGGAACAAACAAACGAAATGCTGGGAATTGCCAACATTTTTTCAGTTATCAATAGCGGAGGAAATCCGTCATTGTTTTGAAAGATTACACCAAGATTGTGGATTTACACCAAGATTGAAAGATTGTGGCATTTAGTGTGAGTGGATTACCACTGGGGACAAAAGTGCTCCAGCGCTCCAGTGATAAATGATACAAAACCGCTGCACACTAATCTGGCCCCTATTGACAAGACGTCAGCAGTGCACTGTGCCAGGTTTGGGAACAAAAGAAACTTTTCTAACACTGCACAACCTGGGCTCTTTTTACCAGGCGGCAGGCCTGGCAGAAATACTCGAGCATCAATAGATGTTGTCTGTCCGATTAGAGTAGCCACCAGACAGTCATTTGTGTGGGTGTAAATGTCCAGTAAATGAAGTTACGATTTTTTTAAGAATCTTGAAAATGGAAAATCTTGAAAACCCCCTGGTTTTACATCATGCAACTTCAAAATAACTCCGGCAGCAAGAGGTTAAGGGGAGTTTGAGAGAAGTATGATGTGGAGATTAAAAATACAACCGATACCTTTCTGTGTGTCAAATTGCAATGTTTGTAGCTGTTGTATGACATCTGCCTGTTGGTTTGCATGCTCCATGGCCTTGCTGTTGGTGGTCTGTATATCAGATATCTCCTTCCTACAACATTCCAAATAATTACTTGTTGCTATTCTAATTATCTCCGTTGCCCTCAATAGGATGCCGTGTTTTGACATGCTGTCTAGCGTTAACAATCAACTCTGCACCGGGTAAGGAGAAGCCAGCTTTTGTTTTCACCATTTCACTGATTTCAACCGAGAGTCCAATACTACACAGGCTTCTCCATTTTCTTTACAGAATCAATCATGGAAAGGAAAGTCACTGTGGGCAAATATACCAAAAAAATGCCTTCACATGTGAATTCCAAAGATCAGTGACCTTTTGTGTCCAGTTATTGATTGCAATTCAGCCTCCATGTACAGAAGCAGTCTCAAGAGAGTGCCATACTATCGGCCTTTCCACAGAGGCTCCAAGACCATAGAATGAACACGTCCCTTGCATCTTTGGGCGGTGTCCAAGTGTGACATTTTACTGTCCCTGTTACACCTGACCTGTGTCATTTGACATGGAAATATCATTCAAATTGGTTTCAAACTATTTTCATTTGTTTGGCAGGTAATTTGCATTAATTCATCACTCTTGGAATTACAAAATATGTTCTGAACTTACAAAAATTATATGTCAGGTGTGACAGGGACACACAAAAAATTGGACCCCTAATTTATAGAATGACCTACATTGTATGCAGGCCAAAAAAATGAAATCCATTGCCACTTGATCCTAATGTATTCCCAAATTAAGCAAGAAGTCTCAGAAGTACACAGCTGGTATGAACATAGTCTGACCATGAATTGACCTAATAAACCAGTAAAAAATTAACCAAAACAACATACTTTGGACAGTTCTATGACAATAATTTGCAAATGTGCTTTTGTTATTAGGGCATAAACTAAACTGATGACCTGGGATAGTTGAGGACAGACAGAAGTGAAAATTGTATTTCACTTTTCAGAGATATGAATTCAAACAATATCGTATCATGCAAGGGAATATATTTCTGCTGACAAACGAGAATGAAACACAACCGAGTATGACCTCTCACCTCAGTTTGCTGGATTCCTTTTGCTGTTCAACAAGCTCACTTCTCTTTTTCCTCAGCTCCTCTTGAAGCCGACGCACCGTCCCCTCCAACTCCTTCATTTTCTGCAAGTGTCCATCTTCCTAACAAATCCAATTCACCAATGCACATCAGTAAGCTGATCAGTCTAAAATACACTTCTGAGATCCTGATCAAACTGTTGGTGCAATTACGCAACAGTCAGGTTGCCGTCAACATTTAGGACTTAACTGATAACCGTGACCATTTACAATGACTGACATTTGTACACTGGTAGTTGGTGATGAGCCAATTTAGTGTTCACACAGAGCATTACAATCCAAATGAAGCGCATCTGAGGTCATTCAAGAAGAGCAATACTTGTGCCCGGGGTCTGCCCTATCAGCATGGCAATACAGTGACTCTCGTGTGCGCTATGATTTCAAATGACCACACCTTTTTGAAAATACCAAATTGGCTTCTAAAGACTAACTTACTACCAATGAAAATGTTCGGGAATTTCAAGATGTGAAATAAAACTTGGCAGCATTTCAATTTTCTCTGGGAAAAGTCAACATCAAAACAGTAGTAACAATGGATAAATGGCCTTTAAAAAGAGCTAAATCTCAACACATTCAACCATATTTTCCTAGAATGGCTACAGTAACCTCAAGTGAGTATACTTGTAGGTATGCATGCACTGATATCATGTGTTTGCATGGAGTCAACCAGTGTGACCTCAATTGCCACAGTGAAACAGCACAGGGAAATGGCTCAGTGACTTTTATGCAGAACCTCTACAGTACCTTGGCAATTGACAAAACAAGATGATGTACCGCCTTTGGCTCTCCACTAGAAATAAGATTCATCACTGAGCAGAAACTTGTGCTAAAACTCCTCAAACTTAAAACAGTGAGGAATAAAAGGATGATGCACTGACCTCACGAGCTGCCTTCTGGGCAGTCTGTGTGATTGCTTCAATATCCTTCTCAAGGTCCTATAAATCAGAGCATACTAAAACGTTTAATCCATGGGCAAATCGTGGAAATAACAACTTCAGATGAATTTAACCAATCATCCCCAAACAAAAAGGATGCAGGAAGTTCTACACAGCAAGAACCAAGATGTAGATGTCTCGTAGCAGCAGGGTAGGTTGCCTTTAATTTCATCCAGCAAAATCTGTCAAAACCTCCAGCTTAAGTTTGAAATATGAGAGAGGCAGCTAATGTTCTAAATTCTTGAACAGTAACAAACCTAAAACATGTTTATTACAACTGACACATGCAGGTACCTATCCACCCTGAGCTAAAGTGCACCCCAAAGCGGCAAAAGAACGACAGATGGTGGTAAGTTTTCCAAGCGGGTTCTTGCTCACATTCTAAGTGTACGCCAAGACCACACATTCTGGAGTAAATTTGTCACGCGTACTCAGCATGCTCCTCATCAAATGCGCCCCTGATCTCCATTATAAACACGCGCCTCTGCAGCGAGTACCAAAAAACGCGCCCTTTTTTGTTTCGCTCGCAACGGATAGATCTATAACTAGACAGCTTTTGAATGTGGAGACCAAATATGGTTAATTAACTCCTATCAAAATACAAACCTTTATTTTATTTTGGAAGTCCAAGTTGGTGGCCTGTAGCCGGATTGTGGACTGCTTTTCCTTCTCAAGCTCAATGGTTACGCTGGTGATCTGTCTCTCACACTCTAAACAGGCGGCCAAAATATTCAAGAGTTGTTGAAACACTTCATCATAGCAAAGATGGACAAACACTAACATGCAACACCCTGCAAAGGTGAGGATATGAAGATATGACAAATCATTCTTTCCAGTTATTGACGGAGTACCTTTCTTTTCATTTTGGAGTTTCTCCAGGGTTTCTTTGTTGATCACTTCAGTATTTTTTAGCCGAACATCTTTGGACTGGAGCTGCAAAGAAAGCATAGGGTCATATCACTCTCACTTAAATCAACGTTCAAGCACTTCCAAATTGTTTCAGACCCAACTCTACAGACAAACTTGGAACTAAATTTTCTTCAGTCCAGGGGCCGAATTATCAAGTTAGGCATTCAGCTTTTCTTGGAACAGAGAAAACACTGAAACAGATGATTCACTAACCCAAAAACCTGATCCTTGAAGCAAGTTGAGCTGCATCAGTTTAACAGTGAACGCCTTTAACAAAATGGAAACTCTCTTCACCTCTTTGAAAGACGTGTTTCACCATGTGAGAAAACTTCAAAGCATAATTCCTATTGTAAAATATCCCAACACAGTGAAATATCATATCTTGAGAAGCTAAGAGTTAGATAAAATCCTCAGAGAGGTCATTTTAAGGACTTTTGTTACCAGCTGTTCTAGCTGCAGTTGTTTCTCCTTCAGCAGCTGGTTTTCTTTTTGGAATTTCTTCTTTTCATCATCCACTTCAATTTTCCTGAAAGGAAGCAAAATTCACCAAGATAAAACAAACACTTAATCGACAAGTATAAATCTGCAAATAAATTCTTTTCCAGTTATATCAAAAGGAATAATTAGAACAAATAATCCACAATACAAAGTAAAATATCAATAAATTTACCTTGAAACAAAGCCTTTGAGTTCATCTTGCTGTTGAGACAACAGCTGTCGGGGAAAAAGCAACCGTTAACCCATCAAGTACATACAAGTATCTCTATGTTTTAAACTAAATAACTCTTTACATCTCATGTCGACCATGAATGTCACGGACCAAGCCATTACCACATCTGCAATCAATCAAGAGAAAATGAATGCACTGACCTTTTTACAACTTTTTAATTTTTCATTTTTATCCCTTTGCCAACACAATTTATCATGCAATGCACTGCCAGATTTTTCACAGACCTTGTTGAAAAACCTTCCTAAGCATATTCAGATTAGACTCGAACCCAAGCCCTCATGGGTTCAACAATCACATGTATCGCAAGCAAAAACATACCTCAAAAGAAAAACCCATGTTAAGTCAGCTGCCCAAGTTGGAACAAGCTTCTTCTTGTTTTAAATGGCGGAGTGTCGATGAAGAGTTTCATTTTTGATTGTTCTTACCCTTTCCAATTCTGCGATGCGGTCATCCTTAATTTGTAAGATCTCTAGAACTTTCCGATCCTTCAACTCTGCTTTCTCTTTCTCCCTGCGAATGGCATGAAATAAAAACGGAATCAATTCAAATTCAATATCGACAATCAAATCAAAACTCTTCCTTCAATGTCTTCAAAGAGTTCTTTATTACATGTGTAACAGTGTGAGGAAAGAAAGAATGGTTATCATAAATGCGACCATAATTTTATTTTGACTGACCTTTGGACAACTAAACTGATTGCCTGTGTCACATCTGGGTTGGCAACCTGTAGTCTCTTCCACAGAGACCAAACAAACTCCTTGTCAGCCTGTAGAGAAAATGGTCAAAAAAAAGGGGACAATGTCACTGCTAAGAAAAAACTGTCAGTTGTTGATATAGTTCAGAAACTTTAAATGAATGTGGAACAATATTGTTTGTGTATTGTATGACCGTAAAGACACACCCCAAAAGAAGTAGATCTTGTTGGTTTTTCAAACTTTTGTAAATCATAAATTGATAGGAACATCTTCATGCATTATTTTATTACATTTGAATTACTTGTGGAGAAACAAGTTTAACAGGACCTTAACGAAAGAGTTCCATTCACAGACATCAATTGACACCCTGCGCACAAACCCTATCCGGCAGGTCTAAAAAAGTGTCTTCAAAAACAATAAATTAATCTTTTTACTGCTTTTGACGTTTTAGGACATGTTATCATGTTCTGATGGCTAGTAAAGGAAAATTAGTGATGTCCATATTTGGAACTTTTACCGACCAGGAAATACAATTTAGAGGTTTGACTGATGTGGTGGGGGGGGGAACACGGAAGGCATGGGAATGAAAATGTTACCTGACACTGTGAAAGTTCTTCAGACAAAGCCCGATTCTGGGCTTGGAGTTGACTGAGTTCTGATGAAGTCATGGGCTATAACAACAAAGATACATTTCTAAGAAAATGCTACATGTACATGTACAAGTTTATAAATGATAGTTTCATTTTATGTATGTTATAAACTTGTTGAATATTTCTTTACCAAGAGTATTAAAAACTGTTATTGGCACAATAGGCTAGCTATGGGCTCCACCAAAAGGAAAAACTTTGGAAAGAGTTCCATATACGGACAACACTTACTGCCCCTGTGCACATATGAAAGACTTTCTTTAGCTAAATTTCACTTTTTAGGACGTCATCACTTTACTTGAGGTTTTTACAACTTTTAAAGGGAAAATTAGTGTTTCAGAATATGGAACTCTCTCCAAAGTTTTCAAAACATTATATTGCAAACAAAATTGTCCTGACATAACTAACATAATTAACCAAATACAAAATTTTAACTGAACATCAAGAATGCTTTTGTGTGATTCCAAAGCACAGTTTCTTCAAAGAAGCTTGATTTTAAAACTAAACAGCTAAATAAACCTAAGTATAAGCCTATACAATTTTGATTTAAGTTAAAATAGTCCTGCTGTTTTTAACATCTTACAGTATATTCATTTATTTAATTTAATTCTATTAGAATATATGTTCATACATGTACATATACATGTAGTTAGTAGTATTGGAAGAGAAGGCCCTTTGGGTAACAGTTATCAAGTTAGCTTCAGTCTTTGTCCTTGCAATCTTTACATGTGTTGTCTCTTGTTCAGTATACTGTTCTTCCACGAATGCCAAATAAATAATAATAAATAAATGAATAAATATTATAAAGTTCTATTCATCTTGTCTCTCCCCCCATGGACGTCCTTTTTTCGTCCTTCTCTTTTATTTAGTTTAGTTCCCTGTGTCTTCTGGTGGTAGGAGGGCCCGTTAGAGGTACTTGACACCTGTTCCATCACTTGCAACGCACTGGCTCATTTAAGTCAGTTAGGACTGTCCTCAGTCTTTTATTGGGCTGTCGTGTAGTTTTGCAATTTAATGGATTTTAGTATTGATAGGCTAACAGATGTAGGCCTATATCTGGTACCTATTTTATATGTTGTTGGCAAGTAGAAAGTGTAGGCCTATTAAAGTAACATAAGTAAATAAATAAATTGGCTGCGGGGCGGACGTCTAACCCCACAGTTCTGGGAGATTGTAAATTTGGGGACCTTGTTCCTATAATAGTAGGGAGAATTACATTTTAAGTTTTGAATTGACCTTGGTAGATGACTGTGCCATCATGCTCAATAACTGTAGGGCTAATGTTGTCAAAAAAGGGCATGGTTATGAGTTTTGGGGGAAATTTTGAGGGGAAACTGTGAGTGGTTTAACACATGACAAATGGTGAATTCAGATTTGCATGGTTAGTTTATCAGTAAAAAAAAGTCACATTTTCTCACAATTTACAATTTAAATTTCCAACAAATTGGGTCAGCGCAATAAAGAGAGTGTTGCCTTTCTTTTTTGGGGGGCGGGGGGACTTACCAGTTTTGCAGGATTAAAATGTCAAAAAATGGGGGTCCCCAAGTATACAGTCCCCCGGTTCTGGGGGTATGACTCTTCCACTTCCAGAAGATCACTCGGCACCGCCATGCCCGTGGGCCTACGTGCATAGCCTACGGCACATTTTCACTTCGGTTCAGGGACTAGGCCTATAAACGTTCATTTTTCTCGGGCCCAGGTTATGTTTCAGCAATTCTCAGAGCTCCCAATAGTAAGTCAGACACGATATACCATCTGCACTATACCTTCAGTTTCAAACTGGTGTAAAACTCAAAACATCCTCACAAAGTCGTACTCGATCGCTCTGGACGTTCTGGGCATTATCTCCTGGAAATTGGACACTTCGACGGTTTGAAATAACCGCGGCTTCCGCGCTATCTGCGCTATGCTTTTGTGCGATGTTTGTTCAAGCACCAGTCTATTTTGGTGTCGCATTTTGTCAATGTCAAAAAAACGTCATAAGAATGTGTACAAAAGCCACGACGCGCGCAGTGGAGATGATACACGCGCTGTGTTTTACGTGCACACTGTGTGTTGGTCGTCTGCTTTATGCTAGCGCTCGTTGTATGGCCAAGCTACTCACTGTACCGCACTGGGAATTTCACAATGGCAACGGTGAGTAAATGCCACATTTTCTCAGTTTTAATGACAGCCACTTGTATTTTTACGTACACATATCTACTGCCACTGAGTGCCTTTACTTTGCTGGTGAATTCTTGAGCGGTTGGATGTGTTTAGGTGTGATATTTTCCGAGGCATTTCAGGCGGTTTTGCGACAGGTCAACAGCGGCGCCAGGCTCGTCAGCGCTGACGACACGATTGACATACATGGACGACAAAATGCAGCTGGCTCTTCATGGGCTATCTTGCCATTTCACCGTTAATATAAGACCTCTGTGGTGTTCAGTGTATCTATTCTCCCAGTGATTTCTTCATTTCGGGGTACGCTGTCGAGAATGTCGTCTGATCAGTTTATGTGAAAGCCAGTGTCCGTGTCATCTTGCATGTCTTGCCTAATTAATTGTGAACGTTTCCCATTCACTGCATCAGTTGTTGTAAACCATTTGCCAACTTGCGTTACAATTAAAACTGTTTTTCTTGTTAAATTTTTGTCAAATTGTTGAAGTTTTCCAGGTTCCTCGAAAGTCTGATTTATTATCTTTAGTCGGCCTATGTTTGTGTCTTTCTAAACTTCTTGGAAACTTTTTTTTTCCAAGGTTCCTAATCGTAGTTTTCTACAAATGTGCATGCATGCCTAGATCACCAGTTTCGTTGGGTGTTCCTTTCAAGTGCGACTTCATGATGCATAATGTCGGGGTCATTATCATGAGACGCACAGCACTGGCGTGTCGTGGCACGTATCAAAGGCGGGCTACAGACAACCGACAACGGTGGGTCAGTTCACTGAGGGCTGGTGCCGTGCTAGCTCTCACGGGCCCGGAGGGATTCTGTCGGTGCTAGAATTTACAGAGCTCTCCCATAACAAAATTTCCCCAATGGAAAGAAAAACTTGTTACTCTGTCAAAATATGTACAGTACATAGGCCAAGCAGCACGAGGATGTTCATTTGTAGTAAACATTGTTTCATCTCTTTGTACTTCGCATATCTTTATTATTTTGGGGAGGGCCTTTCTAATTGTCACATAGGTATGTAGTCACTGTATTGAGTCCAGGGGATACATGTTTTCAATTACTTTTGGAGGAGAATGGTTATTATTTTATAATTTGGTGCATTTTAAAAATATTATCTACTGTTTAAACTTTTTTGACAGGAAGAACATTTGGATATTATTTCAGAATCAGACGAGTGAAATGGAGGTTATGATCTTAAGCAAATGCAATACATTTTTGTAGTCTCTGGAGAGTCTGTGCTGTCCACAGCTACTCTGACGTTTGACAAATACCAGGATTTGGCTTTTAACATGAAGAAAAATCTTAAAAATCAACTCATTGGCTAGATTCAATACATCCTAGAGAGTTTCCATCAAGCTGTTCCTACTGTCACTGGTATACACATTTACCATTTTGTGGTGTTGTGTAATCTTGCCATTATTAGTTGAAAATGTGCAATTCTCAACTGAAATTGGTTTTTTTTTTTTTTTGCTTCTTGTTAAACTAGAAAAACCACATTATGCTCATATGACCCATTTTCTTCTTAATGTGATTGATGACTCTAAGCATTACCTATGGTGGCCCTAGAGGGACATCGCCAATTGTCAATATTGACGTCAATATTCATGACCAAATTCAAGACTCGCTCTCTAGTCGCGAATTTTACCATCAATATTTGCAACCAAAATTCACGACTCGCTCTTCAGTCGCGAATACTGACATCAATATTTGCAACCAAATTCATGAGTCGTATCTCTGGTCGCAAATATTGCTGTGAATTTTTTCCCAGCTACCAAGGCGGAAATGAAGTGTTCACGCGTACACACAATGACCTACATTTGTCGACTTGATCTTGTTTTGACACCAAAGAGGGGGTACAATGTTAAAAAAGAAATTGCTATGTCCACAGCCGAGCAACTTTTCTCTGTACCTGGTTTACCAGAAAAAAATTGGCGGCAATATTTGCAACCAGAGATCCAACGAGTCATGCATTTTGTCACAAATATTGGCGTCAACACTCGCGACGGAAGAGCAAGTCGTAAATTTTGGTCGCAAATATTGACAGCAATATTCGCGACCGAAGAGTGGGTCGTAAATTTGGTCGCAAACAATATCGATGATTGGCGATGTCCCACCAGGGCCACCATAATTACCTGTTTTTATTAATACACCAATAATTTCATAGGCAACCATGCTGGAAAAAAATACGTAAAGAATTCAGAGTCTGCTATCAGAGAAACAAAGTATGAACATGTAATGTATAATATTTTCAAAAACTACTGCAAACTGCTTGCTGGCTACAGTAACCTAAAATATAAATCAAGAAAGTGCGAGGACCTGATGTTTCAATCCTAGAAGAATCTTTCTCAAAGGCAGAAAAAATATGAGACTGGGTTTTATTTGTTACTGCAAGCCACTTTTTAAACAAATGATTGAACAGTTTGATGAGCTTGTTATGACCCAGTTTACCCCAAGTATAAGACATTTCTGATCCTTTAATGCATTTTTCTTGTAAAGAAAAAAATCCAACTCAGACGACATACCGGAGGCTTTTGCGGGTGACCGGGAATCCCTCTGCATTAGCAGTGAAGCCTCTAGCCCAGGAGTCCGGCTTGCATGCCAGATGGTGGGAATCGATAGATAATTATAACGATGATCCAGTGCATGATTTATCGGAGCCACTTCCTTGCCCTGAGCAGGAGTGGGGCAGTCTGATGCAGAGGAGGGAGGGAGGGGGGGTCAGAAGGTTCTAGTCTGTCTGAGCTGGGGAGATCTGCCAGAAACAAGAAAAGCTATGTGCCAGTGTCTGACATTTTGTTGTGTCTTGTGTATTGTATAGGAAGGGTTGTCAAGGGCCTTGGTTCGTCAGCCCCTCCCTGTCAGTACTAGTGTGTACTCCATAAGCCAGTGTTCTTGTCCTATCCATTCTCAGACACTTTACTGCTTAGTTGGATGCATGTCATTTTTCTTAGTTCTTGATTGAAATCATTCATTGCAGTGTGTCTGGAATTTTTTTTTTGTCACGGTGCATTTTTGAGTTATATCATTCCTGGGCAACTTCAGGCATAACATCTGAGTGAAATGGAGCGAGATTCTAACTTTGTTTATAGTTTACTGCTTACCTGTAACCGTCAGGGCTGGAAAAAAATCCCCGATCAACAGGTTCCTTTTAGTTGTACTATTAGATTAATAAAGATGTTGTATCTCTATCCAATTGCCACTTTCATTTCTCCAGAAGTAATTATCATTTTAGTTCAGTATTTACACTTTTAGGTGGGAAACAGGTTTTTATTGTGTGAGAAAAAGTGATAGAAGGTTTATGGGCAAAGTAATAGCATCAAACACAGAAACAGAATTACAGTTTAAATGCAAATTGGTCTGAACTCCATATTTGGTTAACACAGACAGACAGTTAAACTCATTGCTTATAAGAATGATTTGGCCAGGACATGGATTGCAAAATTTGGCAAAATGTGTGTACAGAAAATGCTGTGAGCGCCTCATCATCCACCCTACAAGGACAGCTTTTTGTAACTCTTAAGTTTCCACATTACACATGAGTTGAACATAAACCTTTAAGGTGCTGTCTGTAGTCTTCGACAGATATTAAAGAAGAGGCTACTTTAATCTCTCCAAGCATAGATTTCTACGATTCCAAATTTGTTCCTTATTTTATGAATTAGAATTTAGAACGTACCGTATTGGCTGTGTTTTTTTTTTCCCTTGTTCAGTGGCATTTCTAGTATGATGGCCTTGTCGGGCATAGGTTATAGGCGTGTAACATTTCAAAATTGGAATGGCCTACTTTGTCCATTTTGAGAGAACGGATCTTGATGTGTAGCAGTAATGCCTAAATTTCCTGTCTCAGACCTTGAAGATAAATAGCTAATTAACAGTTCCCTTTGATAATTCAACCAATTAATTGAAGTCAACAATCTGATGAAAGCTTGCTTGAGATTAGACAGGGAAAATTCATGGAAATTTGGAATTGACTGTAAATGATTACTTTGTCAGAATGAAGTGCTCTGTGCAAGTGAATTCAGTGTGGATGTATACTGTAATTGATATTTTTTTCCTGCGTTTCTGTTAACGGATCAGTGGTTCAAGCTTTCTGTACCACAGAGCACATGTTAACTGTTACTGATCCTGAGTATCATGTATAGTGGGCTGGACAGTACAAATAAGCAAAGCACTTCAAATGTTTGTACATGTATAAGCAACAAGTCATATTAAAACATTTTGTGTTGTTTCATTCTCAAGCAAAGGACGCATTTCCAAGGTCTGTTCATTTCAGACACGTGATCTCTTATTTTTTCTGTTTCTCAAACTTTCTCTGTTTTTTGGTTTTTTGTTTTTGTTTTGCTATAGTCCATTCGTTGCACACTTCCCACCTGTTCATGTGAGTGTTTTGCCCCGGGAAAGAGTCAGCTGAGAACTTGCGAGCAGTGTCGGCACGGCTGGGTTGCACATGGTTAGTAGAAAGATATATTCAATATGTTTTCGTTTCTCTTCTGTAAAGTATGGTAGATGAAAATGAAATTATATTTAAAATGTGTTAAAAAAAATCGCCTGATTTGGATGACATCACGAGCTGTCTGTTTGGGTTCTGTCCCAGTGATGTCCATTTCTTTTTTAGTTTCAGTTTATCAAACTTTACATGAAAGACAAATCATGAAGGTTTCAGACAAAGCATATAGTAAAGAAACTTTCTGGAAGATGTTTGACGTATGTCAAGTTGAAC